GAAGCATTTGACCAAAACCTAAGAAGAAAAAAAACTACAGGGTCCACTTCAATGACCCAACTAAAACCAAACAGTTGTTGTGACAGGAAGTAAAAATGTTTCACATGAAGAAGAAAATGTACTTGTCCGTTTGAAGATGACGTATTGAATATATGTTTATTACTTGGCAGCATTTAAAACACTGACAATATGAATGTGATTGACAACAGACCACCCCACCGCCACCCCTCCCACTACCTCCCATACACCAATCACACCATGTACCTTGGTGTCAGTCTGCCAATGAGCACAGACCCCAACCCAAGGTGGTCAATCAGGGCTCTCCAGGTCCCACTCCTCACTCCTGCTACTTCAGGAGCGTTGGAAAATATGCCATCAAACTCTACTTCAGCAGGTTTTACAATTATTTTAATGCCTTTTCTTCTTCTTAAATTCCCTATTAAATTTAACCTTTCCAGTGGCTTGGGACAAATGATGTGGGCAACATGAAATAGTGAGCATATGGTACTCCATTCCTGCATACTGTTATCACATTTTTACAGCTGGTCATTCATTAAACTGAGTTGCTCTTCTCTTACAATGTACTGATATATTAACTGATGTACTAACATAGAGGATATGATCTTAGCATAACTTTCTCCTGGCAGAGGCTGAAAATGTGCAGGCTCGTTCTCAAATTAAAACGGGACTCTAAAAAGAAGGTAAATACAAACAACACACATCATGTGTCATGAAAAGCTGTAGCACATGATGTGGGGAAAACATGTCAATGAATCAATGAGTACATGCCCCAAATTCAAATTCCCTACAGAGCGCCCTCTGGCACCAGATCTGCTGTGCAGGATGTGACCAAGGTCAGCAGTGTGAGAACTGCCCCTCCCTCACCTTATAGAGAAAGCAAATCGATTGTAATGACAAAATCCTGTAAGCCACGTCATGGTTAGGGTTAGGTGTTAAGAACTGGCCCTTCAGTTTGTCCACAGCTGTTTTTAGTCTATGGAAATCTATTCCGACCTCAGGCGCTGGTGTGATCTGGGTGAAATGTAGTATTACTTGACTGAAAAAACAAAGAATATTTCATTTCTACAGAGCTGTGTTATATATATATATATATTTTATATATATATATATATATATATGTATGTGTGTATGTATAAGTATCTTTTATATACATAATTTTTTTTTTTTTTCATTTGCTGAGTTTTTGGGGAATTGTTTTTTAGAAAATATCATGAGAGTCTTTTACGAGTGCTGCTTATGATCTAGTGAGTAACAAGAAGACAGAAAATGGTCCAATCACATGTGGAACATTATTTATTCAACAGCAGATCTCCAGTAATAAATAAAAACACAGATTGTTTAATTCACAATAAATTCAGAGAAAACACTTTTTTAGGGTTTTTTTAAATATAGAAATGTCTAAGTGTGGGGATTGATATTGCCATGGTGTGAAAACACACTGTGAGCAGAGGGGCACACACACACACACACACACACACACACACACACACAGACACACACACAGACACACACACAGAAACACATACGTGTGGACAAAAGTATTGCGTTTTCCATCTTGTCTTCACTGACGTCCGTTCCGTCCTCCGTCACCTACAGTTCAACTACAGTATTGCATCACTTCAAAGTGCTACAGAGATTGGTGCCAAAAATCATCATAAAACAGGAATAAGTAGAGTGTGTGTTTTTTCCTAATAATAAATACCCTTGTGTGTGTGTTTGTGTTTGTGTGTGTGCATGTGCGTGTGTACAATGTGTGTGTCAGGACTCTATACTATGACCACTGCTGCTGCTAAAGAGGCATCTTTATAAACAGAGCAAAGAGTTAAATTCAATTAAAAACAATAGATCAATTATAGAATAGATAAATGATTGTTTTGTATGTTAGAATGTGAAAATGCAATTGCACTAGAATAAAAAATAGGAAAATAACAAAGACAAACTTGTATTAAAATTCTGGCATTAATATGATTAAAAGATGTTTTGACGTTTGCATCACAAATCAAGCTTAAAATGAGAGAATTAGTTCAGAATTCACACTTTAAATCAGTCATTTATATTGTTTTTTTTATTTTGTTTGACAAACCTAATATGGAACCCAACCTTTAGATTTTCAACCCCAGTACCAAATCATATGTTTAAAACTCCAACTTTTACATTTTAACTCTTATCTTCCATTTTAACCTTAAGTTCTCAGAGTGTTAAAACATTTTTTAAATATATTTCCACTCAGGGTCATCTCAGTATTAAATTGCTGTTTTATTTTTTTCTCAAAATTTTGTTATTGCATTTAAAAACTTTAAATACAATGTTTTCTTTACAAGATTGAAGGAAACATTTGTCTGATTTTTGAAAACATTTGAGTCTGAAAGATAAAAATATTATTAATAATTCTAAAAAAAAGTCTGAATGTTTGACTCTCAGCTCCTAGTTTAACTGATTTAATTTTATTGAACATATTCCGCTCCTGTCTTTCATCTCATTTATTGAAAGCAGATTCTGTGGAGTTATGTATTATTTTGTTCTTAAAATCTGAATAGACAATTAAAAAAAAAAATTGAATCATTTCTGTTATACCTTATACCAGGAGGTGACAAGGACTGACTGGACTATTGTAAACACAGGGGTTTCCTGCTCCATTTTTAGGGCCATCGTGTCTTTATTTGGCGTCTAGATTGAATGATCTCCTCTCGATTAAAGAGACGAGGAGGATAAAGGGATGAAAGAAAGATGAAGGAGGTAGGAAGGACAGGAAGCTCCAGACAGATTTGTCGTCACAGGAGCACCTGCCAATGTCGGAGCTCTCCTGTTTTCTATCCACACACCCCACCCCCACCCCTCAGACCCCCCACTTTTTTCCCAGTCTGGCTGCAGCAGGGACTGAATCTCAGAGAGGAGATGGAGAAGGTGCTTAAAATTCCTCCTTCCTTCCTCCCTTCCTGTGTCCATCTCCTCTGCTAAAGGACCTGTTGTCTCCATAGCAACACACCCAGCCTTCATACTGAGCTCATTCACATAGTCATGAATGTGTGAGTAAATCTGTATGTGTGTGTATTTGTGCCTCTTCGTGTCTCACTGTTTATATGCAAGAGAACTCGTCTCCAGTCAAAGTTCAAAATGTCCAAAGCTTTTTTTCACGGGAACTTTCATTAAAACCAGTTCATTTTTGGTCAGTGTAGAGAAAAATCAGAAAAATGGAAGGATTGCTGGCTGGTTTCTCCACATTTGTTTAAAAGTTATGTTTGTTTGTTTCAGTTTGTTTGTTTCTTTGTTTTGAGAATTGATCACTGATAAGAAATGAACGTAGTGGTGTGATTGTAAAAGTCAACTCCAAGACCAGCAGTTTGGAGTCTAAAGTTTGTAGACAAGGTGGCGCTGTGTTCAGAATTTTTTAAGATGGTATTTAGCTTAAGTAGCAAATAAACAGCAGATGAAGCTCAAAATCTGAGTTCTGAAAAACATTCACAGAAACAACAGTAGAGTGATAAAATCTTGAATAAAAAAAGAGAAAAAGAAACTGAGCCAAAGAGAAAATAAACAAAGATGAACTTAGACAATTTGGTTAATAAAAAAATGGGCCAAAAACTCAGGATAAAGCTAAGAAAAAAAAGAAAAGAAAGTATTGTCAGGTTGAAAGCTAATGTGATGCTACAAAGTAGTAGCTGCTGTATGCACATCTGTCTCTTTTCTTGGTGAAAAAAATGTCAGCCTGTAAAACTGCGGCAGCTGCATCATATAGAAGACTTAGAAGTGACGTCTATAAAACAACGCAAAGACTGACTTTTCCTGAGGAGTCTGTGGTCTCCAACGCCACTCATTATGTCTTTTTATGAAGATGAAGAAAGATGGACAATTGTGTGAATTACCGTTGAATAATCCAAGCCTAGCTTCAGGTTTATCTACGTATGGGCTTTGAAGCTGGGCTGACTTCAGGAAGTAAACAGCTGCATCCATTTCTTATCTATGGTCTATAGTTTAGAATCAGGCACCAAGTCATTTCTCACCACCTGTTCTGGAAGCACATAGAAACCGCCAGGGTCAGTAAAGACTCTGAGCTTGTTTGACGCTCAGTCTGTGCTCAGATTTTGTTTGGGGTAATCGTCAACTGTCCATCAGCAGCCTGGAGAGGTCGTGAGTGGGCTGTGGTGCAGGTACACCGGGTTGACCACAGACACAGGGAAGTTAAAAATGAATGGAGAGGTGGGCGTGGTTGTCACCGAGGCAGCGGCAACAGTCGTTGACGACTTGGGTCCGAGCAGCGGGCTAGCAGTGGCCGCGGCCTCAGCAGCACAAGATGTTGCGAGAAGCTGGGACTCAAACTGCAACAACTGCCCCATAAAGCTGAAATTGGGGGATATAATGCTGCGGCGCCGGCGAACAAATTCAAAGGCTTCATCAAGGCGCACGCGTTTTCTCTTCATGAGGTAGGCCAGGCAGATGGTAGCAGAGCGGGAAATACCGGCCTGACAGTGGACCAACACTCGTCCACTGGAGTCTCGTACCGAGTCTGAGGAGAGAAGGCCAGAAGGTCAGAAGGTCAGAAGGTCAGGTGGAACTTTTAAAAAGTATAACCCAATCTTAAAAAACAAATATAAAATTCAAAATGTGACCAACAACAGTTGTTTGCTAGCAAATACATAATAAAACAGACTAACACAACAAATTAGCTTGTTAGCCTCCATCACACTCTTACACAGCAACAAAGTGGTAATGAATACAACTGACCAGATATCCCAAAGGAAACACATGGTGAGGTGACAAAGATAAACTGAAGTTCTAACTATACTGTATGTTTTTTCAGCTCATTCATTTCCTTCAATAATTAATGTCCATCTGTCAGGTCTGAACTAAACCACCTTCTTCTTCATCCTCCTCTTCTCGTTCACCCATGACTCATTTCACTGAACTGTGATGACAACGAAGACTTTATCACCACAGATGAACGCTGACGCTAGGCCTCAAACTGTTTCATACTTCCTGTCTGTGTGAAGTCACATGACCAACATCAAAGTGAGAACACCACCTTCAACTCAACAAGTCGCTCTTTGATATCTTTGTCAACAGGGGGCGTACTGTACTGTACTGTGTGAGTCCCTCACTCTGTCTCTCTTGATCTAACTCAGTGTCTCTGATTGTGTCCTTCTCTCTGAGCTTGTCTTCGTCTTCTCTGCTCCTCTCTCTTCTTCATCAGTTTCAACTTTGACCTTTTTTTTAGTTTTGTTATTCTCTTTTTGTCTCTTTATTTGTTCCCTCATCTCTCTCCAAACACACACACACACACACACACACACAGATTTCAAGTAACACCAGCACAGCATCTGTTCACCTGGTAACAGTGGGTGAGTCAGACTGTGGTCCCACACCAGCAGCTAACTATGACGCATAGCAGTACACACATACACACACACACACACACTCCCCCCTACTACATACATACAAAGATATGAAAATGTGCAGCAGTAATTGTTTGGAATATTTTATTGTTTCAAACATCGTTTCTCTGTCTCTGTTTCTCTCTCTTTCTCTATCTCTCTCTCTGTCTCTCTCTCTCGCTCTCTCTCTCTCTCTCTCTCTCTCTCTACATTCACTAACCAAGAATCAATCACACCAACAGTAAGGAGACACAGGAAATGAGCAACCAAAGACAGATATGTGAACTGAACTGAACTGATAAAAATGCTAATGTATGTGTTTTATATATATTTATAATATTTGTTTTCTTTTTTCTTTTTACAATAGCAACACATATGAGTAGGAGACATGGAAACATAAAAGTAAGACTGGGTTGAGAAGCCCAGAGTAAATACTATATATATATAAATATATATATTTACACACAACACATGTATATATTTAAATGTCTATATATACATATATATGCACATATATAATAACCCTTAATTAAATAACATATATATATATATAAACATAAGTGTTGTGTGAATTTTTTTTTTTTTTTTAAACATGACCTAAATTACTGCTGATCCAGCGACACATGGACCCACTGACCTATGAACTCTATGGCCTCCAGGAACCAGCAGCTGATGTCCTCTTTATGGTTGTCCTCCACGGGGATGCATTTGTACTGGTATGTTCCCTCAAAGTGATTGGGACAGTCAGACGACACATTCAGCAACGCTGAGATCCCCATGTCGTCCAGGACCTCCTTCTTGGAGGCGTGGAGAGCGCTGCCCAGATACAGGAAGGGGAGAATCTCCACGGGGCCGCCCTGGAGGAAGCACAGATGGAAGAATCATTTGTCATTACTTCTTTATTACAGACAGTAATAAACCATTTATGTCCTAGAGAGGGTGATGTCAAGGGGAGACAAGGGAGACAAGTGAGGGGCTGACGACCGTACATCCAAGAGCATCAGACGCTGTCTTTAGAGCAGTGGTCCGCTCTGTGGGTCAGTTGGTTTCCGGGCCGCACAGAAAGAAAACTGCTCCACCACTTGGAGAACAAGCATTCTGCATTAAAAGACGTGAAGTGAAGTGTGATGTTACGATGACGCTGCTAATAAAGTTGACCAGAGGGTGGATTGAAGTTTGTTATTATATGTAGAAAATAATGTCGGTCATCTCGATGTATTTATATGCCACACCTTAACGGCCGGTCCGTAAAAAAGAATTCAGACATTTAACCAGTCCGTGTCGCAAAAAAGGTTGGAGACTGCTGAGTTAGAGGACAAAGAAAGGCTGGACTGAACAAAAGTACAGTGGAACCTTCTGGTTGTCCAAAGCCTCCCTTTTCAAACAATTCAGTTCACCAACACAATTTTTAACCAGAAATTGCCCTGGTTGTTGTACCATAACTCGGTTGCCGAACCAGAGACACCAAGTAAACAGCAAGTGATCAATGAGTGACTGTGGCCTCAGTCCACCTCAGGATATACACACTAAGAACTGTTGACTCTGGTTTTGACATTATTTCTTGCATTGTTCTATTTCTTCTATTTCTTTATTCCATAAATCCCCATGAGAAAGAAGTGAGAAGAACAGTAGAAGTAAAGAAAGATGGAATTTCAGATGAGTCTTTACAGTTTGGCTGAGCAAAGAAGAAGAAAAATCAATAAAAGATGCTGAGGTTCAGAGGAGTGACTGGGATCACCAAGAAAAGATCAGAGACAGTAGAAGAAGTGGAAAAGTTGACACTGATCTGGATCAACCACTAACAGTCGGCCAGTATTTCAGAGACAATCATTAGTGAGAAAGTGAAGTGAACATTGTCAAATAAGGACTCTTTAGCAGCCCTAAGGACCAATGAAATGATCGCTCCCATTTATAGCTTCATTCTTTATTCACGTGTTGATCTTTTTGTTAGATCTTATTATTTTCATTTGTTTGAACCTGTTCACAAAAAGTTTGAACCAGCAATCATCCAGGAACCAGGAACCGATTCATCCATTTGACATTGATAAACTATGGTGAAGAAAACGGTTCCAGTTTTTGGACTTTTCCGCTCATGAACGAATGAGGTTCTAAATCTGAGGTTCCACTGTGTTTGTAAAAATGTTCACTATTCACACATACGGCTGTAGTTCAATTGTAGCATTAGACGACATCTCAGCTGCTCAGAGCGGGTGAAAGTTGTTGTGTTTGAGCCAAAGAACTAATTCAAACTGTCAAAAATCTCAGTAAAATGGTTTTACAAATGTGAACATAAAAGTCAGCTGCATCTAAAAGATAAGGTATAAGCTAAAATAATTATAAAGAAAAGCTGAAAAAGCTAAAAATATGAAAAAATATGTCAAAGATAAATAATAATTAAAAAAATAATGGTATGTTGTCATCAGTAGACAGCCATTAACCCTAACCCTAATGAATAACTAAATGCTAGCAAAAAACTGCTAAAAGATAACCATGAACTAAAAAATTAATGACAAGTTTGTCCAATAGAAAAAGAAGTAAATCTAAAAAAAAAAATAGCTAAACATAAACCTGTGAATAGCTAAACAAAACGTAAAATAAGTTAAGAGGGCAACTCAAGTCATGTTAAAGACAAACTGTCCTGTAAATGATCCAGTCTTTTAGTCATTTCTCCAGTAAGGTTTTTCAAATTTGGCCTCCCAGCCTGAGATTCCAGTGTTCTACGGTGAACAGTTGACTGTGGTTGTGTAAAGCTCACAGTCTGCAGTGTTTGCTCTCAGGTCGTGGATGACGTCACCAGGTTTGACATCCTTTTAGCTAAAGGCTATTAGCATATGTCCAAAAGCAGCAGTGCAGTGTTATTCATAAAAACACTCACTTGGTCACGGTGTGGCGTCCCACAGGACGAACAAGTTGAGTCGATGCTGGACTGACTGGTGAAGGACGGTAACGATTTGGTCCTTAAACAGAACTCAGGGTATTCTGTGAAGAATCTGTCGTAACCCCCTGCAAAAAAAACGATGAAGAGGAATTATTACTGAAGTCAAAGCTGAAATACTTTCTGACGTCTAAATATCATTTACTTTTCTTCTTAACCGCGTCCTGTTTTCTTTCTTTTTTATTTGCTCTTTTCTTCTTACATTATTTACCCCCGGGGGTAAGTTCCAGCTCTGTCTAAATACAACAGTGTGTGTCAACCTCCATTCATCAGCATTACCTCATTCACTCACTGGTGTGTGTGGGAGGGTGTGTGTGTGTGTGTGTGTGTGTGTGTGTGTGTGTATGTGGCATACTATAGAAGAATTAAAGACTGGATTAAAGACTAACAGATTAACAGTGTGTGATGTTTATATTTCAAAGAGATTTTAAATAAAATCGGAGGCGAATAAAATGCAAGACCTAAACACAGGATTATGATCCAAAAAGAAGACAACAGGTAAAGGTTAAAAATATATATACATATATTTACATGACTGGATGATGTTATGAAGACCACGCAGCTGCAGGTTAATTATTTACACTGAATAATTAATGAAGCCAAGGCCCAGTTCTATAAAAGTAGATAAATATAAATCACATCATCAAATCATGAATTAACTTGAAATATCAGAATTATATCCTTAAAGGCTGCAACTGATGACTGAAAGTCATCTTTAATAATTGGAGTAAATGGTAGTGTTAATGGTAGTGTTGATGGTAGTGTTAATGGTAGTGTTAATGGTAGTGTTAATGGTAGTGTTAATGGTAGTGTTAATGGTAGTGTTAATGTCTTTGATGAATATGTTTTGATTCATTACAATGTAAATTTTTTTAAATAAAAACAAATGAAGTTTTGGTATTTGAAAAAAATACTTTATATTTAAAGAAAACTTTAAATAATTTTCTTTTATTACTATCAATCAAATATTGAATTATTATCATCTTATTGTGAATGTACGTAATAATTCAGTATAGGCTGCAGTAAACAACAAACTCTCTTTGCAATAACATTGTCTAAGAAGGTTGCAGGTTCGAATCCACCAGCTGCAAAGTTACCACTGAGGTGCTCTGAGCAAGGCACCGTCCCCACACACTGCTGCCCACTGGTCACATTTGGTTGTGTGCAGTGATGTGTGTCACAACGTCACAATGACAAGGAGTTCACTTTCCTTCCTTTCCTTTCCTTCCTTTCCTTTCTTAATAACTAAAGATTTCAACTTCATTTTTCTAATGTTCGATTATTTACTTCAACATTAAATTCGAATTTTTAAAATGCAATACTGACAACAGGATGAAGTAAATAAAAAGTCTCTGTCCAGTAATGACATACTTTATTTGATTTAACCTAAATGAGAGAGACTGGTTAATTGGTCGTCTAGTTGTTGATTAATTGTCAACCCTAACCCTATTTCTTTGTTTTTATTGGCTTCAAAAATAAACAAATACTCGATAAACATTTATTTTTAAAAGCCACTTAATGTTTATGTTCTACTTCACTGCAGCACGAAACAAAGAAACGTGTAAAATAAAATAAAAAACACGTTTGTTTTCACCTTTCAGCAGGTAAACATGACTTCCGGTGGAGTCTCTGCACAGCGCGCTCAGCACCAGCCGGACGGTACTGTCCTCTCTCACGGCTTCAGGGTCCGGTGTCCTCTCGTCGTACAGCACCACGGCGGAGTACATCCCGGAGCGGAGGCGGCCCCGGACCTCCTCCTCGTCCCCGGCCAGGATCTGGTCCAGGCTCAGCACGGAGCCCTTGGCTCTACGGCGGACGATTGTGTTACAGCGGGCGTTGACGGCGCCGCGGATATGGCCGGCGCTGAATGCGAGGAAGGAGCGGCAGTCGAGCAGCAGACACTTGGCGCCGTCGTCCTTCAGGAGCCGCTTGAGCACGGTGCACTCCATCTGACACAGCTCCTCCATGGCTCACCGTGTGGGGGCTTGGAAGTAACGCTAGGGCGGCTCCAAAATCAGCGCTAACAGCGCAGCATTCTTACAGACGTTATTAGAACAGTTTCTCCCTCCTCTGTCTTCTCTCTCTGAGAATTTCTTCTTACGATTGTTTTTCACTCTCTCTTTTTTTACTCCCCCCGTTTTATGAATGGGTGCATGGCGTAACGGCGGAGGTGACGTCAACCAATGACAGCCAATCGCAGAGCGTCCACTTCGCCGTCCCATTTCCAGCTCCGTGGTTCATTCATAAAAAAAAAGATATCAATGAAAAGGAGTGTGTAGTGGAAGTCGACACATTAATGTTATTATTATTGTTATTATTGTTGTTGTTGTTGTTATTATTATTATTATTATTTCACTATAATAAAACTCTAATCATTACTTCTTTAACATATGATTGTTTAACGTTTTTGACGTTTTAGTTTTTGTCGTGTCTGAACTGAAAACAAAGACCACGGTGAATATTATCTCCATTAAGATAATATTCAGTCTATGTGTGTGTGTGTGTGTTTCTGGTAAAGGTATACTTGTGGGGACAGTTTTTAGATATTAGGATTTGAATTAGGGTCAGGACTTTTACAGTGATAGTTTAGGGTTACGGTAATGGGCTGGGATATGTGTGTATGGTAAGAAAACCCGTGTGTATGTGCGTGTATCTACATCTACAGACAGACGTGTTATTTGCATCTTTCTGGCACAGCCTCAGGGAGTACGCTCAGGTATTTGCATGTTCAACTTATTTCCATGGTGACGAGGAAAAAGGAGAAGAAGAATAAAGAGAGCGGAGCGATAGCAGCTGAATGTGGCAGACAAACAGACCATAATCACACTTCTATTAAATATTGTCTCCGTCCAAGGTGCATTTATCAGAAGTAAGTCCAGTTGGAAAAAAAAGGTTTATTGTGTAGAAATAAAAACGTTTTTTCCACATGAACCTTGATCTTCCATGTTCTGCTGTGACGTTCTGTTGGAGACGAACTGTAAAATCTGACACTGTTGAATGTTGAACAGAAACTGGGATGAGAACATGTGTTGTGTTTATGTCCCTCTATTACAATACAACGTTTCTTCTTCAATACAAACTAAAGCATTTTATAAATAAAGTACTTTGATAAAAACATGACAGATCGAGATGACTACAAATCCATTAATTAATCAGAATATTTTAACAGCTCATCTGATCTGGTTACAAACAGTTGGAACATTTGTCTCATGACTATTGGCTGACATTGTCACCTGAGCCATATTAATGTACCGTACTGTAAGAAGACAGAGACAGTGTCAGAAGAAATCAAAGGTGAAGATGGAGAAGATGTGGGTGGAGTTGGATGAGATCAGAGAAGAGAAGCTCCATCAGTGCAGACCTCTGATCATGATGCTGCTGCTGCTGGCGTAGCAACAAGGGAGAGGTGTGAAGAGGCGAAGACAGCAGCAAGGGTGGCTGAGAGGAGATTGGTCCAGTAGAGACTCAGTGCTGATGTCATCACTACCCCCCCCCCTCCTCCCTCCCCCTTCTGCTGCTCTGCCATTTCCATTCATTCATCCACTCACATCACTTTTCTCTGAATGCCGTCGTCCGTCAAAACAGTAGTGGAGAGAGTGTGTGTGTGTGTGGGGGTGGGGGTGGGGTAGACGGGCGCTGCTGTGATGCTGCTGGGAATTTTGGACAGTTTTAAATTTACAGATAAGGTTTAATCTTCCCACATAATAATTTGATGAATAAGGGAGTAAGTGCAATAACCACAACCTCCAGTCACATTACTGTTATATTTCAATATACCATTATATATGATTTAGTTTATGTATATTTGTATATATGTGTGTGTGCATGTCTTTACATATATAATGTATATATGTGGATGTGGGCGTATATATACAGTATATGTATATGAATATTCATAACGATTATACTGCGGAAAAATGAATGATCTCGCCTTTATAATATGATGTAAATATGTACAGCAACTCCTAGTAATAATGGTTGTTTAAATATATACAAATTATACGACTAACGTTTATTTTATTTAACTATTTATCTACTCAACTATTTATACTGTTCATAAATTTAAATATACTTGTTCACATCCTTGAAATATTCTAGTTATGCTTAAATATACACATACACACACCATCATACTAATTTAATTTAGAATAACAATAGGAGAATATAAATATAATAAAAAAACAATAATTGAGATTGCAATCAACAACACCACACGGGGCAACAATATTTACCTACTAATCTACTAATCTACTAATCTACTAATCTACTAACATCCACTTTTCAGTTTCCCATATTCACTGACAGTGACTACGAATCCGAGTGTGTGTGTGTGTTTCCATCCATCCATCGTCCATCCATCTATCCATCCATCCATCCGTCCGTGCGTCCATCCATCCATCCACTAGTCCATCCGTCCGTCTGTCTGTCTGTCTGTCCATCCATCCATCCGTTTATCCGTCCATCCACTAGTCTGTGTCCATCCATCCATCCATCCGTCTGTCCGTCCATCCACTAGTCTGTCTGTCCGTCCATCCATCCATCCGTCCATCCGTCCATCCACTAGTCTGTCCATCCATCCATCCATCCGTCTGTCCGTCCATCCACTAGTCTGTCCGTCCATCCATCCATCCATCCGTCCGTCCCTCCATCCCCTCCTCTGTCTGTCCGTCCATCCATCCATCCATCCGTCCATCCATCCATCCGTCCATCTATCTATACAAATTCTACTTTTCTTAAAGGTTATAAAACCTCAACTTCCGTTTTTCCAGTTCTACCTGTGACCCTGACCTCATGACCTTTTGGATCCTAAATGTCATTTCCTCTGAGCTGAAGAGTCAGATGTCAGTTGTCGTGTCAGTGACATTTTCACACACAAGTGACCAAATAAACAGCAGCTCCAGTGGACGTACACAGGCAGTATGTGTGTGTGTGTGTGTGTGTGTGTGTTCTACCAGTTGTACAACCAGCTGGCTTTGCTTTAGTGTAAGAGACATAGAGAGAGAGAGACATAGATAGAGGGAGAGAGAGACATGATAGGCCTTCAGTGCTGTGACCTAGCATCTGTGTGTGTGTGTATGTGTGTGTGAGTAAAAAAAAAAGGCTTCAGTGACGTGACTTGATGAAGGTTGTTCTGTGTATACGCAGATAAAAGGTTTTTTTACTTATTGACCCCAACAGTCTGAACAGAAAATGTATCCAACATCATGAGAGAAGAGAAATATCCAGAAATAAAAACTAAATGATTTTGTCTCTTCTGACACCCTGACATTTTAATGTATCCATCAGAATGACATACACTGCATCACTGACCTCCGTCTCCTTCAAACAAACTCATTCATTAAAACCAGCAGCACTCAGTGCTGGTCTTAAACCACTGGATTATGGGATTAGAGAGCTCCAAGGGTTTATGCATGTGTACACATTCCTTACAAACACACTCATAATTACACACAGACAGACAGAAATATTCACAGTGTATCATAACTTGACTACATTGTTTCATCTCTCTTTGAACCAAATCCAACTTCCTTTTATCTAACATTGTGCTAGCTTCCAGCTATTTTTGCAATTTTTTAGATGACTGAAATAATGTTAGTTTGTTGTGGATAGTGTTAGTGTGTATTTGAGCTCATTTCATGTGGGGACATATAAGTGTGTTTGTAGTTTTGGAGTTAGGATTAGAACCAGTTCAGATTGAGGGTTGGATTAAGAGGGTGTGTGCGTGTGTGTGTGTGTGTGTGTGTGTGTGTGTGTGTGTGTGTGTGTGTGTGTGTGCCTGGTGGATTACAGACAGGAAGTGAAATCCTCTTGCACATCTTCACACACAAACACACACACACATACATACACACTGACTGAGGACAGTCTGACCTGACACACACACAATCACACACAAACACTGACATCACCAATCTGTCAGCTTTATTTTGGTTCCCAAGGCAACGGTTTCCAGACATGACAGGAGGCGACACACCACGGTGACACAGACCGATGTTGGAGCACGCTCAGACGGAGCTCAGTCTTTCTCTTACATTTCTTTCATCTGATGTTGGGGAAGAAGACGAAGAGCAGCTGAACACACAGGCAGTGAAGGTTTCAGGGGGGGGGGGGGGGCGAGGAGA